GGACCTGCGGGGGGACAGGGCCCGGTCAGGGATGGGCCAGCAGCTCCGGTGCCGGGCAGGGGTGAGGAGGGGCAGCAAGTCCAAGGCCATCTTACCCGTGCTGCCGCAGGAAGCCGTGGTACTCGGCCTCGGGCTGGATGCGGGCAGCGGCTGCAGCCATCTCCTGGTGAATGGCAGCCACCTCGTCCTGCACCAGGCTGCTGATCTCCAGGTATTCCTGCAGGATCTCCTTCCTACCCCCCCGACGACGGGGACCCGGGTCAGCCGGGCCTCGGGCCGGGGCAAGGCTGGGAACTGGGGCCCCGACTCTGGGTTGGGAGTCAGCGGTGGGGGGTTGAGCCCCCACCTCCTCGCTGACCGGCCAAATGACCAGCCCATCAGGCAAAGTACTGACCGTCTCCTGACCTCCACTCCCTGTTATGTGCGATGGGGGTGCTGGGAGTGGTAATGAGGGCCCAGTGAGATTGTGTGTGGTGTGCGGTACACACCACGAACGTGCTGGTTAAAAGTGAGTTACAGCCCTAGCCCGTGTGGCTCAGTGGGTAGAGCGTCGGCCTGCGGACTGAAGGATCCTGGATTCGATTCCAGTCAAGGGCACCTGCCTGGGTTGAGGGCTCGGTCCCCAGTGTGGGGCGTGCAGGAGGCAGCCGATCAATGCTTCTCTCACATCATTGATGTTTCTCTCTCTCTCTCTCCCTCTCCCTTCCTCTCTGAAATCAATAAAAATACATTTTTTTAAAAAGTGAGCTACAATCCCGCCTGCAATCACACATGCATCAGCCATCGATGTGCTGCGACCCCCACACTGATGTCTCCAGTCCCAGCACCTCCCCAGAGCCCCAGTCTCAAGTACCCATCTACGTACTCAAACGCCCCCCGTTGGACACCAAACTCCACTCGTTGAAAGGCGAGTTCCTTTTCTTGTCTGCCGAACCTGGAACCTGTTTCTCCCATAGCCTTCTCCACGTAAGCTAACGGCGACTGCATCTTCCAGGGCGCCAGGCCAAACCCTCCGCGTCACTCTGAACGCCTCTATTCCACGTCCCACTTCCAGTCCATGAGGTTGTCCCACTTGCACCACTTTCAACCTACACCCAGCACCTGACCCCTCCTCCCCTCCATGGGTCCCAACAGCCACAGGCTGTGGTCTGGATTATTGCAGATGCCTCCTGTCTGGTCCTCCCTGCCCTTGGCCTTGCCCCCTGAGGCCAAAGTCCTGGCAGTGGCCTGCTGGACCCTCTACAGCCCAGCAGCCCTCACGCCTGGACAGCTCCGGCCTCGTGTCTGACTCAGCCCTTCCCTGACTCTGTGCAGGCCACACCGGCCTCGGCCTCCTCGCTTTCCCCTCACTTCAGGCCATCTCCTGCCTCAGGGCCTTTGCACCTGCTGCTCCCTCTTCCTGGCCTGGCTTTTCTCCCAGCATCCCCTGGCTCATGCCTCCACCTCTGAGGCTTTTTCACACCACTCTGTTTAAGGCTGCCTCCCCACCCCCCTTTCTTGTTTTCGTTTTCTCCAGAACACTTGTCGCTTCTAATATGCTTTTTATTTTACTTACTGACTTCCTTTCCTCTCTACCCTGACATGAATGATCTTAGCGGATAGGTATTTTTCAGTGTTTTCCTCTGCTGTATCCCAGAGCCTAGAACGATCTCAATAAATATAATTAAAACCCTGTAATAAGGGGCCCTGGGATCATGTAATTCAGATATACATCGAATGGCTCCAATCCTCGGCCCAAGGCCCGTTCCCACGTGATTCTACGACCATCACTGTCGCGGGACTGACTTCTCTGGACCCTGCCTCTGGGCACAGGGGCAGGGTGATGGGTGGGGCGGGGGCCCGGGGCTCACAGGATGCAGGCCATCTCCTGGTGCAGGTCCTGCAGCGACTGGAGCAGGCTGGGCAGCATGAGCTGGTGGTGGTGCTGGTGGTGCAGCTGCGCAGCCCGCACGCCAAGCACGTAGCGGTTGTGATGAGCGAAGAGCTTCCACAGGCTGCGCACGTACTTGTCCTTGGCCTTGTCGCGAACCTTGTCTGCGAGGTTAAGGGAAGGGGGTTCGGGTCACGGCACAGAGTCCGGGCAGCCCCCCCCCCCCCCTCCCCGGGCACCTGTGGACGGGTCCGAGGGAAGCCACGCACCTTTGCTGGCCTCCTGGTATTTGCGCCTGGCCTGGGCGCTGTCCCGCGCCAGGGTTCGGTACTGGTTCTTCAGCTTCTCTATGTCCTGGCTGTGGGTCTGGGGAGAGAGAAGAGGCAGTGTGTGTGGTCAGCAGGTCCCCAGGGCAGCAAGTCCAAGGCCATCCCCCAGGAAGGGTCGGCGGACCTCTGCGGCCTGACCTCTGCGGCCGAGGCTACGGCAGAGGAGCTGGGCCGAGGACAGCCCCTGGGGAGGCAGAGAGAGGACCGGGTAGGTGACAACTGCCCCTCCTCAGCCCAGAGTGGTATCTGGTGGCAGGCAGGGCCCCGCTGCAGGCACATAGAGCTCCACACTGTGGATGCCATCCTGAAATGGTCGATAATTCTTTGACAAGACCTTGAAAGCATATAGGCACAACCCATGGACACAGACAACAGAGTGATCAGGGCCTGGGGCAGGGGGCGAGCTGGAAGGGGTCAATGGGGGAGGAAGGGGGACATATGTAATACTTTCAACAATAAAGATTTAAAAAAAGAAAGAAATTCCTACTTAAAAGGCTTAAAAAAAATCACCATCAATGAAGGGGTCTGGCAGGGTGGATGATTTAGCTCAGGCTGCCATAACAAAACAGCATAGCTTAAACAGCTTTATTTTTTTAAATATATTTTATTGATTTTTTACAGAGAGGAAGGGAGAGGGATAGAGAGTTAGAAACATCGATGAGAGAGAAACATCGATCAGCTGCCTCCTGCACACCTCCCACTGGGGATGTGCCCGCAACCAAGGTACATGCCCTTGACCGGCATCGAACCTGGGACCCTTGAGTCCGCAGGCTGACGCTCTATCCACTGAGCCAAACCGGTTAGGGCTTAAACAGTTTTATTATATTTCATGAGGATAAAATGACTTTCTTGGGGGAAAAAAATAGTAATTCCTAGACAGGGCCCCACATTTTCATTTTGCACCGAGTCCTGCAAGGGGGCAGGAAAAATAGATGGTCGAGACCAGAGTTCTCGTCCCAATGCCCCTGTTGAGGGACTGGGATGCTGTCGGGCCAGTTCCAGCCTCTCCTCTGAGCCTCCGTTTCCCCATCTGCAACCGAGCGAAACGCATAGACTGCAAGAGCCTTTTCCTTCGAGGGCCAGCTGGTGAACATTTTATTTTATTATTTTTTAAAATATATTTTTATTGATTTCAGAGAGGAAGGGAGAGGGAGAGAGATAGAAACATCAATGATGAGAGAGAATCCTTGATCAGCTGCCTCCCGCACGCCCCCTACTGGGGATCAAGCCTGCGACCCTGGGCATGTGCCCTGACCAGAATTGAACCCGGGACCCTTCCGTCCACAGGCTGACGCTCTATCCACTGAGCCAAACCAGAGCTAGGGCTGGCTGACTCTGTGTTTTAGATAAGCTTTTGGGGGAGAGAGAAGAATGGGTTGACACTGGCCACCAGGGGCCGCTGTGGGTCCACAGCAAGGCTGGCTTTTGCGCTGGTAGAAGCGGGTGGTACAGGGGCTTGACCGGTACGTTGAACTAGAACAGCAATTTCAACCTTTTTCATCTCATGGCACACATAAACTCACCACCAAAATCCTGCGGCACACCGAAAAATACATTTTTGCCGGTCTGACAAAACAAATAGGATAATTTTGATTGACTTACAAAACACTACTACTAATAAAAGTAGCAATTATTGCTCTAGCTGGTTTGGCTCAGTGGATACAGTGTCGGCCTGCGGACCGGGTTCGATTCCAGTCAAGGGCATGTACCTCCGTTACAGGCTCCTCCCTGGCCCTGGTTGGGGCATGTGCCGGAGGCAACCAATCGATGTATTTCAATCACATTGATGTTTCTCGACCAGCAAGACGCAACTCCATTATATGACTTATATATTTATGAGTCAAGCCAGGGCATTCACACTGGATGGCTGTTGTTGTGTTGGCTGTTGTCATTTTTTTTTTACTTGACAATCTAAGGGAAAAGAGGTCAGTGCCCCTGACTAAAAAGTCAGATATTGCAAGTTTTAAAAATTCTTGTGGCCCTAGCTGGTTTGGCTCAGTGGGATAGAGCAAGGGGTCCCTCCAAACCTTTTTAAACGGGGGGCCCAGTTCACTGTCCCTTCAAGACCCGTTGGAGGGGTTGGACTTATAGTTTAAAAAAAAAACTATGAACCAAATTCCTACCGCACAACCTGCCACATTTTCTTATTTTGAAGTAAAAAAACAAAACGGGAACAAATACAATATTTGTATTTGCATGTGGCCCCCGGGCCGTAGTTTGAGGACCCCTGGGATAGAGCATCAGCCTGCGGACAGAAGGGTCCCGGGTTTGATTCCTGGTCAAGGGCACATGCCCGAGTTTCGGGCTCGATCCCCAGTGGGGGGCGTGCAGGAGGCAGCCAATCCATGATTCTCTCTCATCATTGATGTTTCTCTCTCTCTCCCTCTCTCTTCCTCTCTGAAATCGATACAAATATATTTAAAAAATAAAATTCTTGTGGCGCACCAGTGGGCCGCAGCACACCCGTTGAAAATCGCTGAATGACAGGCTGAAACACCCAGGTAAACAGCGCCAGGCGCTGGGAGATCAACAGACGGAGGAGCTGAGCCGGATTCAAACGCAGGCCGGCTGACTTCACAGCCCCCGTCTTTAACCTCTGTGCTGGGGCCTCTGTGCTGGGGCCACACTGCTGCCTTGAGGCGTCTCTTGGGCCCTGAGAGGAGTCCACCCAGGACAAGGACAGACAGACTAGCCCTCGTTCCTCTCCCTGTCTCTCAGCCCCAGAGCCCGCTGGTGCCCTGCGCTACCCAGGCAATGGCGGGACCGCTCGTCCTTGTACTCCCGGCACTCTGCCCAGACGCACAGAGTGACAGAAAATAAAATGCACGGGGCCCTGCTGGAGGGCAGCCCGAGCCTGGCGAGGCCGCAAACCAGGCGGGAAAGGAAGCTGCGGGGGGCGGGCCTGCGGTCAGGACTTCCACTTCCCTGTGAATCCAGGGGCCCTTGTGCAAAGCCAGCCCTTTGAGCTCAAAGTGTGGGCAGAGAGGCCCAGGTGACGGCCCGGGACGCCCAC